TGTATAATGTAAGAATGTTAGACTTTGGGCTGGGGAGATGGCTCAGTCAGTAAAGTGTTTGCCTTGCAAGTGCGAAGACCTGAATTTGATCCCCAGCACCCATGAAAAAAGGCTGGATGCATTAGCACCTTTGCATCCTAGTGCTGGGGAGGCAGACCCCGGGTGATCCCTGGGGCTCCTAGCCTCATTGGTGAATGCCGGTCCAATGAAAGACCCTGTCTCAAGGGCTGGAGAGATGGCTCAGTGGTTAAGAGCACTGGCTGCTCTTGCAGAAGACCTGGGTTCAAATCCCAGCACCCATATGGTGACTAACAACCATCTGTGACTCCAGTTCCAGGGTTTCTGATGCCGTCTTCTGTTCTCTGTGGGCATGGCATGGCATGGGTGCACTTACACACATACAGGCATAACAGTCATACACATAAAATAAAAATAAATAGTAAGAGCTATAAAAAAAAAGAGAGATCCTGTCTCAAAAGAGGTGGATAGTGTTTCCAAGGAACAACACTTGAGGTGGTCCTCTGGCTTTCACACACTGTTGTACACAGATACATGTACACCTACACACACACACACACACACACATATGCACACACACACACACACATTTGAAAAAGAAAGATGTGTCAGGTGTGGTAGAACACGCTTTTAATCCCAGTATTCAGGGGGCAGAGGCAGGCAGATCTATATGCATTGGAGATTCGCCTGGTCTACATAGTGAATTCCAGGTCAGCCAGGCCTACATACTGAGACCCTGCCTCAAAAATATGCTAGAAAATGTTAGACTTTTATAAATAGCAAGGTCTTTGAGAACTGAGGCTATTGATCTTAGTATCCAGAGTACCAAAGTCATTGCTGAGTGTGATTAGTAAATGGTAATTGAGACTTTCTATGATAGTAAGATGAAAATTTCCAAAACATTTTAGAGATGTATGGACTGTCAGAATATGTTACTAAATTGCACTAGGGGACTGAAATTCACTTTTCCTGATGGTCAGAGTATTTGGATTGAATTTAACGTAATTGATGTCATATAGCTTTGGTCACGTGTGAAAGACAGAGGAAAAGCAAAGGACAAGGTATTTTAGCTGTGTTCATTCTGGGAGTTGTAGTTACTTATAGCCCTAACTTTTGAGAAGCCCAGTTTATACCTGTTGACCCCGTGCTTACCTTAAGAGCCCTTTCACCCATTAATCGTTCACAGCTGACTCTTAGTATCCTTGGGTTGAATATATTTTTGGAAAATGTTGTGTCTGGAGGCTGGAAAGAAGACTCAGTGGTTAAGAGTACTTGCTGTTCTTCCAGAGGACCCGAGTTCTCAGCACTCATGTTCAGAGGCTCATGACCACCACTAACACCAGTGACACACCCTTTTCTGACCTCCTCAAGCACCTCTACTCATGGGCACATACCCACACACAGATACACATAATTAAAAATAAAATGTCTTTCTCATGACTTCCTTTGTGAGACATAAAAGAAACATCTGTTTATCCCAGATGGAAAGGCAGCTAGGGACTAGAGAGATGGTTCAGCAGTTAAGAGCACTGGCTGCTCTTGCAGAGGACCAGGGTTCGATTCCCAGTATCCACATGGTGGCTAACAACTGTCCTAACTCCAGTTCCAGGGGCTCCTATGCCCTCTTCTGACCTCTGTGGGCATTGCATGACTCAGGTGCACTCACTTACACGCAGGCAATACACTCATACACATAAAAAAAAATAATAATAGGGGCTGGGTTGATGCCTCACCAGTTAAGAATACTGGCTGTTCTTGCAGAAGACCCAGGTTCAAATCCCAGCACCCACATGGCAGCTAACAACTGTCTGTAGCTCCAGTTCCAGGGGATCTGATGGCCTCTTCTGTCCTCCGCAGGCATTGCACGACACGGGTGCACTTACCTACATGCAGGTACACATAAAAAAATAAAAAATAAAAAATAGTTATAATAATAAATAAAAGAAAAAAAACAAAGGAAGCTAACAGGTCAAAGAAAGTCCAGTTTTGTGAGTAAATGAATTTATTGTGACTACTTACAAGAACTTACAATGTTCACAGGTTTGTATCCTACTGAAAAGCCCCAACCCCAGTCAGTTTTGTACCCGCCAGTTGGGCTGGAGGAAGAGGGGACTGGAATCTTGGGGAGAGTCTTATGACACCCCCCCGACAAGAGGGTGTATAAACAGTCCTTCATCCTTACCATGGAGTGGCTCTCTGATATATAGCTGTGTTTGTTCATCCTCATGACTGTGGGCCAAGGTCTCATTACAGCCTCTGCTTCAAGTGGGGAGGCTGGTCATGTCAAGTCCAGAGGAAGCCGCTGTGGTGTAACAGAACATTCACAGAACTCCCCCCTTACTACCACTCTCTGATGTAGTTTAACAGCTGTTTACATATCTACCACGTATTAGGTTTTCTAAGTATAGCAGAGATGGTTCAAAGTGTAGGAGAGGTTTGTGCAGCTTATATGTAAATACCATACCATTTTATTAAAGGAAATTGAGTGTTGGGAGGCATGTGCAGGAGTCCTGGAGCCAGGTCCTTGCAGAAACCACAGAACTAGTATACTTGTCTTGTGGCCCTTCCAGGGGAAGGGGAGAGGCTCATGCCTTTTTGGAGATTGTAGTTTAATACTTTGTACTTTCTTTTTGCAGTACTGAGAATTGAGCCCAGGTACTCCATACATACTAAGCAAGGGCTCCACCACTGAGCTGTCCCGCCGTCCTGTGCTCATGAATCTTAAGCAGTTAATGTTTAAGGAATGAGTAAACAAGTGATGACATACCATTGCTCTTGACTACTAGATAAACATTTTTAGGGAGACATTCCTCTCGCTCAAGGTGGAACAGCTCAGGATAGATCTGTGTTATTTGGCCTTTTATTTGTTTATTTTTTTTATCTTAGAGCTTTGCAGGACTGGAGCTATAACTCAGTAGTAGGGTGACTGTCTGACATACACAAGGCTAGGTTCAGTTCTCTGCACTGAGAGAGAAAGAGAAACAGGGAGATAGAGACAGAGAGATAGAGAGAGAGAGACAGAAACAGAGAGAGGAGATAAAGTATTAGTTTAACCTTTCTGGTAGCTCTAGAACAGTTGTACTAACTTAAGCAGTTTCTAATTTTGTATATTATTGATAGATTATACCCAGTGTTTACCTGGTGTCTACACTGTGCCAATGAAAGTCAATACATTTCAAAAGCAAAACTTGGTTTTTACCCATTTATATGGAAGTTATTTTAAAGGTAGTAGACTGAGTTTTAAAAATCATGAACCTCGGCTGGCAGGATGGCTCAGCAGTTAAAAGCACATTCTGGGCCAGCCTGACAACCTGAGTTCAATCACCAGAACCCATTGTGGAAGGAGAACACTACCTCCAAAAGTTGTCCTCTGACCTCTACATGCACCACATGCACACATGCAGACACACATACATACACCACACACACATGCACATGCACACCATACACACACTCACACACACACACACACACACACACACACACACAAATAAATAAAATTTTTAAAAAATCAGGATCTTTCCAGTTCCTAAGAGAGATAAGAATTCCTTAGCCTCGAGAAGAGCATGGGGGAGACTGAGTGGTGTATGTGATTTGAAGATTGAGTGGGTGTGATCGTGGCATCCTCAACCTTTGAATGGTGGGGTTAATTCTTGTGGTCTGATTATGTCAATGTGGCAATCCCATGTCTGTCCATCTTTTCTCCTAGATTTATGGTTTCTTCCGTCCCTGGCCTGCTCACCTTCCCTTGCCCTCCTGAAGATGATGTAGCCATGTACTTCTCCCGTTTATATCCTTCTTCAAAAGATAACCGTGTGTTTCTATTCCTAGGTCCATGTACTTTTCTTTACACATCATAAGTCTGTTGATAATCCTGTTTCTGCCCATCAAGCCTCGTCATGCTCCCAGGCAGCCACAGACTCTGAATTCTGTTCATAAGAAGGCAAATTGATCTCTCTGAGGGAGGCTGAGCAGAACACCTGCAAGACCTTGGGAAGAAGATGCTACGGAAAGGCTGTTGGACTCCCCAGTGACTTAGAGAAATGTTTACATGTTTTTTTTCTTAACTGCAGGGAGCATTTTTATAAAGCCTCTTTTGTTGTACAGTTAAGTCACCGTGTCCAGCTTACTTATCTTCATCCTGTTTGGGACCCAGGACCTTTCAGTGGGGCAGAGGGCAGAGAACAGGCCACTGGCCCTTTGCTAGTCTGAAATCATTTCCAGTCACTGGACTCTGTGTGCGGGGACCCAGATATTGCCTCTGGAACTTAGGAGGTCACTGCTGAGGTGAATTGTCAGAGATTTCTGAAATCAGAACATTCCCAGGCATGGGTGTCCCTTAGAAAGCTCCAGACCCTTGGACCTGTGACTTAACAGTTTGTGAATATAATAGACATGCTCAGAAGCCCCCGGACAATAGTGACTGTGGAGGGAGGTTTTGCAAGTTGTTGAAAACCCCCCAGACTGGGAATATTAACCCTGGATGCTTGAATGAATTGATGTGCCCTCAAACAGGCTGCATGCCCCTTTCCCCAGGAACATACCGTTCCCTCTTTTTCCTTCCTAACTGAGCCAAGATTGGAAATCAGGAAGTCTCCTGTGTGCACCAGGAGCCTGGGTAGACTGCAGGCTTCTGTTTACCTGCTTTCATCTGCTTTACCCTTAGCCCTGAGAAGACACCCAGATCTTGATAGCATTGTAGGCAGCCACCTGCCTTTGCAAGAAATAACTGCTTAAGTAATCTGAGGTTACAGAGAGGCACGCTCTTCTCTCCACACTCCATGGCGGTGTCAGTGACCGGGGCCAATGTGTGCACATGAGCTGATTGTAACGGGTTAAATCCAGCTTTATTTTGGGTGAATTGTTGTGTTGGGTAGCTACAACCAAAAATCATTCTTTGCTCTGTCCTCGTTATGAATGTGCTACGGCTCCTTTTGAGGACTTCTATCGGGTAATATTCTGTGTGGGTGAAGGGAATAGAATATTAAAATGTGGAAAATTATAATAATAAAATCTATGCATCAATGATGTACCTCCATCAAATGGTCTGTGAGGAGAAAATTATTCAAATCAGATGGTAAAAAAGTTAGCCTCTCTCTGAATAAATTGTATATTTCTATATAAGGAATTACCTCCTTATGAGAGGATTGTTTTTTGTTTGTGTTGAGAGATTTGATATGTGTTTTCACAAATGTGCACAAAGCTTACTCTCGTTTTGCCTAAAATTTGTGAACAGAAGAACACATTCAGTTTTCACAGCATGCGCCGAGCACTGGGATTTGTTTGTCTTGATAGGGTTTCTTACCTTTCCCGACTTTGCAGTTTCCCCCTCTGCAAAGGAAGGGGCTGTGCTCAGAGACATTGGCTAATGGCCCTGTGTCACAGAGTTAGTGGTAAAACTGAGACTTGAATCCATGGCGGTTGTATTAGGGTTCTCCAAAGAAACAGACCAGTAGAATGAATATATATGTATAGAGATTTACCAGCTTAGCTCACAGGATAGAGTCCGAGTAGTCCAACAATGGCTGCACCACACTGGAGAGGCTGAGAATCTGTAATCACTCAGTCCACGAGGCTGGATGTCTCAGTAGTCCCAACCCGGTGCTGAAGGTCTGACAAATTCCAAAAGATCAGCTAGTCTTCAGTCTACAGCAGCAAGACGAACTCACCAGCGAGAGAGAAGGCAAGCCGCAAAAAGCCTGGCGTTCTCCTCTGCCGTGGCCTTTTATACGGGAGCCATCAGAAGGTAAAACCCACATTTAGGGTGTGTCTTCCAGGTTCAGATGATCCAATTAAGAAGATCTCTCTCGTTTCAGTTAATCCCAGATCCAGTCAAGTTGACACCCAGGATTGGCCATCACAGTGGTCCTGTGGGAGCCTCTAAACACTGAGTTTGTCCATGTGTCCTGTTGGTTTGTCTCACAGGACAGTGTCATGTGAAAATCCTGTCCAGTCATTCTTCCCTAAGTAAAATGCTATAGAATTTGCAACAAACCTATGCTTAATCCCCTGTGTATTTTAACTCATCTTTACATTGCTTATTATACCTAATACAATATAAATGCTGGATCAATCATTGGTATAGTATATTGTTTAGATAATAATAAAGAAATGCCTAGACACATCCAATGCAGGCATCACCTTGCCCAGTATGGTTGAAACAAATAGGTGGAGCTGACAGGAAGTCAAGGAAAGTAGAACCAGTGTGACCACCAGTGGGCGGATGGGGAGGCTGTGACCGCACTGGACCTGTAGCTCGTCCATGGTGTAGTGTGTGAGCCTAGTGCGAGAGGCTCACTTTATTTTAACTACAAAATTACAGTCCGAAGAGCAGTCTTGGTGATGGAGGAGGGATACAGGTGCCTAAAATGTACCTGAGCCACTCCAGCAGGGATATTGTGGAATGCAAAACCACCCAAAATGTACTTTTCCCACTGAAGGGAAGGGTAGCTGTCAGCACTGGTGCAGAGCAGGAGCAGTCTGATTTCTGGCCAGGCTTTTCTGTGCTTACACATCTTCACCTCTAAGAGAAGAAGCTTGGTAATGAGAGGAGAAGTGACTGCCGGAGGAACCAGCTGATTTCTGGGAGGGTTTCCCTCAATACTAAAGTGATGCACACAGGGATTAAAACTCATCCCCCGCTCCAAGAACCATCTCCCCTGCAGTTTCTCTTTAGGACCAGAGTTTAAAATAATAGCTGGGACTATATTTTATTGCTTTAGATTTCCAGGTTGTCCTAAATATAATGGGAACTTCATAAAAATGTATTGGCTTGGGGAGATTTAAGTTAAAAAGAAATACACTTTCTGGTTTTATTCTTTAAGACAAATGTAAAATATTCTTAGTGCTTTATTTATTTATTTATTTATTTATTTATTTTTGTATTTTGCTTTTTAGGTAACCATATGGAACAATGTCATTTGATAAGGATGTGAAACAGTAATTCCGTCTGAGGTTTTGACAGGTTAGGAGAGAAGGCCACAGGCGGAGACTGGGACGGGAAACTAGACATTAACAAGGTGTCCCCAAAACTGCTGGGACACGTGCCGTGCATACTCTGGGGTATCTGGGTAGTGAGGAGACCATCCAGACCCTCCTTCTCACCTCTGCCACACACCAGAACTGCATAGCAAGCTTTAAAATAAGAAAAAAGGGAAAGATCAATGCCTCACCAGTCCAGGGAATTCATCTTCCTCCTCTCCTTGTCTCTGGCACTTGGCATAGTGCCCATCCTATAATGAAGATGTAGTAAGTGTTTGTTGAATGAATGAAGGATTGGACAGATTAGTTTAATGGGTCATTGCTCTTGACAGTTTTGATTGAGCCACATTTGCATGGGGAACTGTTGTCCTGCTTTTCAGAATTAGTTTGTGAAATAAAGGCATGTGTTTGCAGAAAATGTTGGAAGCACATTATGGGAAATAATCACTCAGGCAGCCAGTTTACATAGTCTGAAACTGCCTGGTCCATCCATCCACTGATTAGTGCATTCCCTTATTCATCACATGTGTTGTGTCTGGCGTGGGCTTGGCACTCTCAGGCTCTGCGAGCAAAAGATACCAGAGACCCATTCTCTGCCCTAGGAAGATCTACTGAGCCCAGAAAGATGAGCTTCAGACCCGTGTGCTACAGGGGTGCTCTGGAGACACCCAGCGTGCAAACTTAGAAAGCAACTGGTGGACTCATGTTTTCCTGCAAGTTCAGAGCGTTTTCCAGTACTGACACCTACTCAGGATAGCAAGCTCACTGCTTTGCAGCCTTCTGCCCAACACAAGTTAAGCTTTGCTCCTGTCTGAGGTCATGCTGTCCTTGAGCATGGTGGGGAAGGGGGTTGGGGGTTGGGGGCCCAGTCAAGGTAAGCAGCTACACAGAAGAGCAGGCTTCACATGCATACTTGCCCACAGAGGTAATTTCCAGCCTCAGCCACTGACGTCATGGGACACATGGGGAAAGATATTTTTGAAGACGTCCCAGCTCACGTAACCATTGTCAAACTTCCTAAACTTGTCTAAGGCCACTCGAAGAATGAAAAACAGCATTCGCAAACAGCTTCTTTCCCTAGCTCAGTTCTGCAGACCTGGCAATGGTCCTTACTTCGTGGGAGTGAAATGAAGTCTCAAACGAACAGGTGTCAAAGAGGAAATTATGGAAAATTCAGTCAGAGATCGAAATGGCTTTTATTTGTGGTTTGTTAATTGTGGGAGCTTCTGTTCTTCAAAGTAGAACAGGGGCAGTGGCAGACCGTGAATTTTCTAACGTGGAAACAACAGAAAAATCTGGGTAACATCAAGATTGGTTGAGGTTATTTACATTTCGTAAGGGACGAAGGAGAGGAGGTGTCAGATACTATCAGGTCAGGTAGGCTGGAATTTCATTAGGAAAAACTCATCTGTCTGGAGAGTTACCTGCTTCTTTAACCTGAGCAACTCCATTCTGGTTTGGTCTGGTTTACTGGTACCTACTATAGAAGCTTAGTCTGTCAGAAACAATGACCTCCCATAAACTTTGATTAGCACAAGTAGCCCAGGATCACCCAGCTAGTTAGTAGAGGAGCTGGGGTTGGAGTCCTGGATTGGCTGACTCAAAAGTCCACTTCACACACTGCAGTTTGTTCTCAGTGACAAAGCTTTAACGCTGAGAGTGACTGTGCCACTCACCTGGTCCAGTGGTTTCCAGGAGCAGGCTGGCTGGCTGGCCCTGCTACTTGGGAGCTTATTGAACATGCAGGGAATGTAGAAATGGAATTGCTATTGAAAACAAAAATGCTGTCCCTACTTCCATCAGCACTGCAAATGGAAGTTCCCCTAAATCCCACAAGGCTGATTAACTTCATGATCCTGGAGAGTTGGAATAGTGCAGATCCACAGACAGAAATTTCATGGCCTATTACCTTAGAAACCCCATTCACTGCAGACTTCAAACTATTAGGATGGAATGTATTGTTAGCAGACCCCTGGGTTTCACCAATCTGAAAGCCAGGAGTGTCATAAGATATCTGAAACCTTCAACAGAATCTCCCCAACTTTGCTGCAACTGGCTGTACTAGTTGCTTTCTGTTGCTGTGATAAAACACCATGACCAAGGCAACTTATAGAGGGAAGAGTTTATTGAATTTATAGTTACAGTGGGTGACCTAGTTTGTTTCTCCATTGCTGTGACAAAATACTCTGACCAATACCAACTTGGGGAGGAAAGGGTTTATTTGTCTTACATCTCCTGGGTCACAGTTCATCAGGGAGCCCAAGGTAGGAACTCAGGGCAGGAACTTGGAGGCAGGAGCTGGAGCACAGGCCATAGAGGAGTGCTGCTTACTGACTTGCTCCCCTGGTCTCTGCTCAGCCTGGTTTCTTATGCAACACAGGCCTTCCTTCCCAGACGTGGCACCACCCACAATGGGCTAGGCCCTCCCGCATCACTCAACAATCAAGAAGATGCTCTGTGGACATGGCCACAGGCTGGTCCAATGGAGGCAATTCCCCAGTTGAGGCTCCCTCAACCCAGTTGTGTCAAGTTGACACTAAAGCTGTCCAGCACAGTGGGATAAGAGTATGTCATAGCAGGAGGCTGCTGGAGCAGAAAGCTGAGCGTTCACATCTTCAAGCAGGCACAGGCAGTAGAGAGAGAGACAGACAAGAAATGGGGCAAGACTTAAGAACTCTCAAAGCCCGTCCCCAGTGATGTGTTCTCCAGCAAGGCCATACCTCCTAAAGGTTCCATGATCCTCCCCAAACAGTGCCACCAAGCAACCAAAGAGTTCAATACTTGGAGCCTATGGGGACATTCTCATTCACGCCGTCACACTTGCCCACACTGTCCCATCAGTACAGCTGGTGAATGCCTTGATTTATGACTGTCTTTTCTTCTGTGAATGTAAAAGTTCACAGTGGGGCAAGTTATTCAGAGAGAACTGAATCCATGTTCCTGGGCCGTGGTCATTCATATGTGGCTCAGAATAATCTTTCTCTTATTCTAGTTGAGGTGAGAGCTGTGTTTTTCATCAACAGCAGTTAATCTTCACCTCTGTTCTACAGGGCAGGGGAACTAAAGAACTTGAGAAGTACAGGGGAGGGGGATTATGTTACAGAGACAGACT